TGAACGTGTTCCTGACACGCCCAAACGTGTGCCGGGAGTAGGGTCTGAGTGTGGTGAGAAAGCCAGCAAAAGTTTAAACATAAATGAGTAGGAGAGTGAGCAGGTTGGGGCTGGTACCCTGAGCTGTCATGAAAACTGAACACAGAGATTAAGCCAAATAAGAGCTTGGGAGCTGTCACTTTCTCCTTCTTTATCTTAGGGACCTTTGGTGAGTTTAATTCATCCAACTCTTGAGCTCATGGACACGTGTGTGTAGCATCCCTCTCTACTTTTATTCTATTTTTGGGGTCTTTTTACTTTCCATTCCTCTCCCTAATTATAAACACCTCCTCTGATATCTTTGCAGCTGCAATTTTGAAATACTGTTGTGAAGATATGCATGTATTTTAAATGTATATAAATGATATTGCATAAAAGCTATCATTCTATTTGTTTTTCCTCGCTTGGCACTGTTCTCAAGATCTGCACAAAACGATTAGCCATTCTATCTGGTTTACCCTTCTGTAAATTGCCTGTTGAATCCTTGCCCACCTTTCCACTGGGCTACTCTGGTTGATTTCGTTTCTTGTATTCTAGATAATTTCCGGTTTAAATGTTGCAAATATTTTATCCTAGCCAACTAAGCTTTTTAAGATTGGTACAATTTTCCTTGATTTTTATGACAAAATCCTATTAACATGTTTACTCCATTTATAATATTGCCCTATTTTTTAATCAATTGTTTTGAGAGTAAGTTACAAGTACTTCCATGTGTGTTTCCTAAGATTATGTTCTATTACACATACTAGAGTTAATTACCAATTTAAGTAAGTTTAACATGGATACAATAATTTTCTCTCCATTGGCTGTTCCTCCAACGTAGAGGTAGTTTTCCTCTTGCAATAAGCACTCTGTGGGGAGGCACTTTAAGGTTATGCAGGTACTTACTCTTCGTCAAAAATTCTCTCTAGATTTAGCATCCATTGATGGTTCTTGCTTGATCCGATCTCATGACGGTTACGAAGTGATAAAATCCATAAATTTTTCACCTTATGGTTTGCATTTTAAGAAGTCTTAATACAAACTTCCCTAGTCCCAAGATGCTCCCCATTGCTCTCAGGCTTATAGTAAAAAAAAAAAAAAAAAAAAAAGAAAAAAAAAGGTAAAAAATGCTTTACTCTCAAGCAATTTTTCTGTACTAGCGTGAGGTAAAGATCCAAATCCACTTTTCTCTCCGAAGTGTAGTTTGGTCAGCACTACCTGCTTACCTATCCTTTCCCCAGTAATTTTTGAAGCCACTTTAAAAAAAATCAAGTATCTAATTCCCATAGTAGGTGAGCTAGATTCTGAGCTATCTATTCTGATCCTTCTGTTACTCCATCTTTTACTACTATGGCTTAGGGTGCAACTTATCTGTTGAATTCCCTCTTGGCAGTGTTTTTAGAATTCTTTGAAATTCAGTATTTCCAAACGAACATACTTTAGGATGTTTTTGCAATCTCCCACCAAGGCCTGCCGTAATACTACATGTAATTATATTGAAGTCAGAGGTTAATTTGGAGAAAACTGACATTTTCATAACATTATGACAGACTGTCCAATAATAATTTATATTTAAGCTTTGAAAGAAAATGACTTTCGAGTTTCCCACGCTTTTCCCACTACACTAACTTCCTACAAAAATCTTTAGTATGGCCGGGCGTGGTGGCTCACCCCTGTAGTTCCAGCACTTTGAGAGGCCAAGGAGGGGAGATCACCTGTGGTCGGGAGTTGAGACCAGCCTGACCAACATGGGGAAACCCCGTCTCTACTAAAAATACAGTTAGCTGGGCATGCTAGCGCATGCCTGTAATCATAGCTACTCGGGAGGCTGAGGCAGGAGAATCACTTGAACCCGGGAGGCGGAGATTGCAGAGAGCTGAGATCACGCCATTGCACTCCAACCTGGGCAACAAGAGCAAAACTCCGTCTCAAAAAAGAGGTTTTTGGCCGGGCAAAGTGTCTTACACCTGTAATATCAGCACTTTGGGAGGCCAAGGTGGGAGAAGCACTTGCATCCAGGTGTTGGGAGACCAGCCTCGACAAAAATGTGAGACCCCATCTCTAAAAAATAAAAACAAAACATTCCGGCATGGTGGTGCACACCTGTAGTCCCCATTGCTTGGGAGGCTGAGGTAGGAGGATCACTTGAGCCAGGGAGGTTGATGTTGCAGTGAGCTGTGATATGGTGTCATTGCGTTCACCCTGGGCAACACAGCAAGACCCTGTCTCTAAATGAATGAATGAAAGAATAGCTGAGTGCAGTAGCTTACATCTGTAATCCTAGCACTTTTGGAGGCCGAGGCAGGTAGATCACTTGAGGTCAGGAGTTGGCAACCAGCCTTGCCAACATTGTGAAACCCTGTCTCTACCAAAAATACAAAAATTATCCGGGTGTGGTGGCAGGCGCCTATAATCCCAGCTACTCAGGAGGCTGAAGAGGGAGAATCTCTCGAATCTGGGAGGCAGAGGTTGCAGTGAACTGAGATTGCACCACTGCACTCCAGCCTGGGCGACAGACTCCGTCTCAAGAAAAAAACAACAAAAAAAATCCCATTGTTAGATTCCTAAGACAGGTTTAAAATCATAAATATGTATTAAATGTTGTCAAATCTGCCAAGTCCAGTTAATTTTGTATCAGACAGCACAGAAATCAGCAATGGGACTTGACTCAGATTTTGTCCCTACTTTCTGATCTACCAACATCAAGTTGTGAACTGAACAAAACAATGGATTGGAATGGCAGTACAGACTGGGCTTTTAAAAGTGGGTAAGTTGACCAGAAGTGTAAGCATTTACTTCACCTATAGGTCTCTGCATCGTATAAAGTAAGGTCTGTTGAATGTGACTTTGGCAATCTGAAGTCACTCTGCTGAATTGACTTACCGTTAGAAAAATGCCTTCTTCAGCACAGATTTGTGACAAATTCACTTGCTGAGGAAATGCAACCCCATATCTGGAATATGGCTAAGTGGATTCATTTAGATCAAACAACCAAAAACAGACAAAAATAAAAACAAGGTATACCTTTTCCTTATATATCACAATTAACTTTTAAAAATAGCAAATTTTTGGAAGAGAATCAGATGAATAGTTAAAAATGTTATAAACAGTTCGAAAAGAATCAATTGTATACATTGTTGAAAGTTGTTCATATTTTATTTTCTAATTGCAGTAGTTTGTATCTGATTTCTTTACATCATTCCATATGATGGGAAAGGACACCTCTAAGTCAGTTAGTACTTATTAGCTGTCATGAATCTATAGTAAAAGGGATCACTGAAGATTTAAGAATAAAATATTATCAGAGGTATCAATATTAGTAACTATAATCTTTAAAGAAATATAGACCAGTTGGTATTTTGTAAAATATCTTCAAGCAAATGAGAGACTTCATCTGTTAGTCTTATACCGAATTAAATAAGGTTGGTAGCAATTTTAAATACTCTGTTGATATGAATGTACAAATATACATTCTACGTGTTCCTTCTATTGTACGAATCAAAGACTGCACGCAAAAGAAATGGGAAATACAGAATATAGAAGACATGCATCCTCTATCTTACATAGTACTGGATATCAAGTGAAAAGAGGCCGACACTGCTCTAAGTACATCACATGTATAAACATCTAAATTATCAATCCTCCCAATAACTCTGCATGACAGGTACTGTTTTCATCATCCCCATCTTAGAGGTGAAGAACCTGAAGCTGAGACAAGCAGGAGAATGTGCCAGTGGTCACCTGCAGGTAGAAGGCCAAGTAAGGGTGGGGGCAAAGTCCCTTTGACCCCAGGATCCATGCTCTCCCCTCTCCAGTACATTGCCTCACAAGTACCTAGCAACTTTCAGGGCTGGGAGGGTGGAATAAGAGAGGACAAAGTCCAATACATCCTCCAAATTGCTCAGTTCACTCTATACCTGAGAGTCTAGTGTCTTTTCACATTTTGCTCTTTTCTGAATAGGAAGAAAAAAAGCAAAGATAAAAAGGATGGTAGTTTAGGGTACACCAAAACCACAAAGCAGTGTGCAAAAGTTTATGGGAGTCCAAAGAGTATAAATAAAACTTACCCTTACTAAGTAGAATAAAAATAAGCATTTCATACCAACACAAATCATTTTCATCTTTAGGACAGTCAGGTAACATTAAAAAAACCTCGCTTTCATTCTGACACTTTAACTGTCAATCCAGTCAATTCCGGTTGTTGTTAAGTCTGTATACAATACAACTAAAGTATAAATCTAGCTATTTTACTCAAAACATGCTTTTACCTATTTGATTACTCAGTTACTCTGAAATCAATAATGACAGCAGTTTATACCTATGAAAGATGTTACTGAACATCATAATCTAATATTTACATTAGATGAGATTAAGTTAAATTACAAGTCACGAAGAGTTTGTAAGCAAACATTTATAGCCATGATTCCACAGATGTGGTGAGTAAACCAACAGCCATTCCTCAATAAAATACAAGAATTTCCATCATGCATAGTTTACAGGCTCAGTAAGAAGCGGTCTCTTTAGGGGCTAGATGCTTAAGAAATATTCAACAAACAATGAAATCTTGGCTTTTTTTTTTTTTTTTTTACACAAATGTTTGGTTTGGTTATTCAGCATTAGTGATAAAACATATTCATATTCTAACTGCAAGTGGAATAAACATTGCATCAAAAATGCAACCCCATCAAAATCATTAGTAATAACTATTACTCCCTCTTAGCAGTAAGAACCATTATTCTTGGATTTCAAACGTTTTATTTTCTTTCTGTGCATAGCTTATAGCACTGTATTATAGGAATCAGTGTATAAGCAAAAAAAATCAAAAATAAAACTGCTGGAAGACCATTTCCATTATTTATGATTAAATCAATGAAACTATACAATTTCCACATTAAATACAAATTAGAAAAATTCCTCCAAGTAGTATTGCATATAAGCTACAACTTTACCCCAACTATTTTAATCACTGATTCGAGATTTACCTCAGCAAGAACAATCACCAGCAAATACATGAACTGGGGTTATAGGTGAATTTTTAGAAACTCTCCAGACAAACCACATGTGTTAAGTAGAAAAACTGATGTTTGAGCTGTGCTATTCCTACGAGGAACTATATCAAATATGCCAAGTTCAAACATTCTTAGTAAAATAATATGAAAGGACCTATACATACTGTAAATTTAGCAAAAACACTTTTATGTACAGAAGCCTAAATATCTTAGGAGGTTTAGAATACCAATGAAGACAATTGTTATTCTTCAAGGCTGGTTTCTTATGAGGATGAGGATTAAAAACCAGCCCTTAGTCTCAGATGCATTCCACCTAGATGTGTTCAGGAACTCCATAGAATAAGAAATATAAACCATGAATGTGTACTCTTAATTTCTATTCCTCAACTTAATGTTCTATAGTACCTCAGATCTTTAAATCCAGAGTTTGGTGTACACTTAGGAAATTATAGTAAGAGCAGATTAGAGAAGATTTGTTTGTTTTCCTTTTGAAGCCATGTGAAGGTTTATTGCCCTGTGTATTTTCATCACTGAAAAGTTCCCCGGTGACTAATAAAATAAAAGTGTCACAAGCTACATGATAGATCTCTTCTTTTAATGTTGCATACAATTTCAGCTTGGCTAGTGAGGGTTAACTAGCTCAGCCCTAGTTTCATTTTGAGTTGACCACTAAAAACTAAATAAGGAAGTTACCAGTAAAGCTAGCTCCCAATACAAGCAAAAAACAAAAACAGAAAACAAAACCAAAACCATTCACATAATAAAATATATCCTTAACACAAAATAAGGGTATAACATATTCTGCAGCACGACATTTTATTTTATTTCTCAGCTGTAGCTTTTCCATTCAGAAATTGGAGACCATCTTTTCATTGAGATGTTATTCCTTCCTCTTCCCTTAGTTTAGGGATATGTTGAAAAAGGCTTTTCAACAAGTTTTTTTTTTTTTTTTACAAGTTGCTATGAAATTAATTTATATATATCTTAAGTGTTTATAAAGCACTCAAAATTGTAGCTTACTTACATGTACATGACTTCTGAAAATAAAAATCACACTTCTAACATAATCTTTCTGCTCTGTAAAAATATTCTACATACATGCATATGATCAAAACAATTCTTTTCATGTTTGGCGTATTTCTTACACATAGTAAAAGAAAAGTCAACAATTATATCAGTACTTCCACTGTTACGATAACTGAGTGCCACCTAGTGTTCAATTTCTGCAACTACTAAGCTTACAAATTCAAAATTGCTATTAAAACCCAGGTTCTGAAACTGCATTTTGGAGATACTTTTTTTTTTTATGTTTATGGTGGCAAAATACGACTACGAAAAGAACACATGATATCAAAATCAGTATAAAAATAGCCACAGGCTACTTAAATATGACAAACAGACTTAATTTTTTTTTTTTCTTCAAATGCAGATTTCTGCCTCCCTCAAATTTTATCAAATCTCAAGGGAATATCTAGGTAATTGAAATATATACACAATGACTCTATACAATCAAGAGGCCAGGGCTTAATCATATTCTGTGAGGACAAGGCAAATGATTTCTTCAAAACACCCATTTTCTTATTGGAAGTGGTAGGAAAAGCAGCAATGCATATTTTTTTTTTTGTAATTAGTAGACATGGTCTTCTATCCATAAGCTCCATTACATTAAAAGAACAAAGTGGGCTTACCATCTCACTTAAGATAATTCAGCATTATCAGTTTTTTAAAAAACAAGAAATACCTTAGAAACAAATCAGTCTGCTTTAACAAATTGCATTCATGCTAATGAAATTTTAATCTTCTTTGTCATGGTCAAAATCCAAATTGTAGGACAATCCAGAAAAGATGGAATGTAAAATGTTGAGTTCAATTTAGATCTGGAAGGGAAAAGAACATCAGATGAAAGGAAAAAGAATTCTTATATTCCAACAGTCTACTCCACATATAAGGGAGACTTTCACCTCCTTAGGCTACCTGAGAAACAAATAGTTTGAAGAAGAAATTTCTATAATTCTGGCCTGCTATAAGTAAATCGTTTTGATCTCCTTTGTAATGTTACATGTTATGCAAAATATTCTTAATAAAGTTTACTGTCTCCTTCCTTTCCTTTAATGCTAGTAATTTGAGATTTTTGTATCTTGTGGATGGGAGGAGACACGGGAAGCATGATACGATCCCTTCAGGAACAGGACCAGTGTGATACTGACCTAATTCTCCTGAGTCAATCTGGCTACAGTTAAAACATCTATAAACCACCTGGAGAAATGTCTCAAAGAAGTAGGGTTCTCAGGTGACAGAGTCAACTTTTACAAAATGTTCAAGAGAACTCTTTAATAATCACTGTCTTTACTGTCTCTTTTCCAGCCAGCCAGCTGGGTCCAGTTCTGAGGAGGTGTTGGCCCAGATCCAGAAATTTTTACTGAGAAAATCTTGACCATGCCTAGATTCTCAACCCATTATCTTGGTGCATGCGGCTTTATATTCATGCATGTTCTCTGGTTAGGTTCCTTAATTTTTTTTTTTTTTAAAGAGGCCTTCTACCCCTGCTCAGATGTCAAAATGTTTGAGTTGGCACTTAATCCACACGTCAGCTGCAAGTTCTTACCAAAAATAGAATTGTTAATTCTATTGTCAAAATATTAATAACAGTTTAGTCACAAGACTCCTCTTGGCTCAGGGTCTCCAAAATTAAGAAAATAACAGAATAATATGTTTATTTCCCACTTCCTATTTTTGTGTATGTGTTAAAATGTCTGTAACATTAGTAATTTAACTCAGGTGTGAGTATTCTTGGTCAGGAACAACTGCTCTAGGTATTCTGAAATTCCATCTTTGCATCAAATTTAACGTTATTATGTTATTTATTTAGAGACAAGGTCTGGCTATGTTGCCCAGGTTAGTCTTGAGCTCCTGGGCTCAGGTGATCCTCCCATCAGCCTCCTGAGTAGATGGGACTACGGGTGCATACCACCACATCTGACTTATTATTGTTTTTGGGTTGAAATACACAGGTGGTTTCTGAACTACATTTTAGTTAAAGAGGTTTGAAAAGAGCCCAAAACAGATTTAAGAGTAACACCCCAATCACTAAATAAATTTATACTGCCAAAAGAATAAGTTTGAATTTCATTCAAATACAGTAACAGCAGAAGTATAGTAAAGCATTTATACTTATGGGCATTACTACTTTATTATTAGGATAGACAATCCATTTTCTTCAAAATAAACATACCAACTGCCCAAGAGTTTGCCAACAGTACACATCCAACAGCTAAAAATACCATAATTGGCAATAGGCTTCCATTTTGACAAGGCTTTCAGTGTATGTTGTAATTCCAATCTTCATATCAAGCTGATTCAAACAAGATTCTTTCAACACACTAATATTTCAATTAAAAAGGCATGTTCCTTTGATAAGATCTATTTTTCAACTGTCCACTAAATTTTTTAATAGCTATCTCTTTAGAAACTCGTAATTAGACAAATCATGCTTACAGTGGCTGGCGTCAATATTGCCAATGCAAACACTGACCTTTTTAGGAAGAGAAATTGAAGAGGGTTGTAAGAATTCTCAAAATAGGGCCAGGCGTGGTGGCTCACGCCTGTAATCCCAGCACTTTGGGAGGCCAAGGAGGGCAGATCTCCTGAGGTCAGGAGTTCGAGACCAGTCTGGCCAACATGGTGAAACCTCATCTCTACTAAAAATACAAATATTAGCCAGGTGTGGTGGCACGCGCCTGTAGTCCCAGCTATTTGGGAGGCTGAGGCAGGAGAATGGCTTGAACCCAGAAGGCAGAGGTTGCAGTGAGCTGAGATTGCACCACTGCACTCCAGCCTGGATGACAGAATGAAACTCCATCTCAAAAAAAAAAAAAAAAAGAATTCTCAAAATAAACAGTTTGACTAGGTGTCTTCTACATAATATTATTTAATTCAGACAATTCTCAAAATATACCCTTATTTATGTTAGGGGAAAGTTGGTTTCTCCATGGATAATAACAAAAATTGGAAAACACAAGGTACATCTACTTACGTCATCAATATCTTCATCATCATCTCCGATGTCATCGAACTGAATTTCATCATCATCTCCAGGACCAAATGTATCAGTTTCATTGATTTTAGCTAAGGACACAGTAAGAAATACACTGGTAAGTCAGCACTGTAATTTAATCAAAGTTTCATCATAAGAAAAGCATTCCTAACTTTTATATAACACAATTACTATAAAGATTATATGAAGCAAAATTCCCTGCAGTGTCACTGCTATGTCAAGATGGGAGTATCTGTGTTACCATTTTCTTTTGTTTGCAAAGGTATTTTCAGTAAGGAAGGCTCTAATTACACTAATTCTGAAGCTATTATAACTTCCAGGTATACTTCTCAAAAGGTTTGAGCACATGGTAACAACGTATTTCCTTAAGAATAGCTGGTTCACTAATCATCAGATAGACTCATCAATGAGAAAGATCTGGTCAAATTATGATTATCCCTAAAGAAATGAAAATGAACCAGGAAGCGCTAGTCCTATTCCTAGATACATTAACATTTATTAGATCAGAAATGCTAAGTAATTTCAGCAGGACTTTCATGCTTAAGTAAAATTAATACTTTCGTGCTTAAGTAAAACATAATAAAATTAAGTTTTTTCATAATAAGATACAACAGAGCCAAAAACAGTAACTGCCAAGTGAAAATGCAGGCCTACAAAATAGTATGTCAAGTACATTTCTCATTTGATGAGGTTGTAAGGGACTTATTTTTAGGTTTTCTGCATTAAGAATTCATTACTTTTGTATTTGGAAGGGTGAAAACCAAGAATGCTGCTTTTAAAAAATCCTACGGGATACTGTTACACAACGATAAAATGAAAATAGAACTTTTTACCCCGTCTCTACTAAAAATACAAAATTAGCTGGGCATGGTGGTGCATGCCTGTAATCCCAGCTGCTTCGGAGGCTGAGAATTGCTTGAACCGGGGAGGCAGAGGTTGCAGTGAGCCAAGATTGCACCACTGCACTCCAGCCTGGGCAACCGAGTGAGACTCCATTTCAAAACAAACAAATAAACAAACAAACAAACAAACAAAATCAGTAATGGTACCTAATTATGTGCCCTTGCTTCGTGTTTTTGTTTTTGTTTTTAATTTTTTTTCAGACAAGGTCTTGCTTTGTCACTGAGGCTTGAGTACAGTGGCATGATCACAGGTCACTGCATCCTCGAACTCCTGGACTCAAGCAGTCCTCCCGTCTTGGCCTCCCAAGTAGCTGAGACTTACAGGCATGTGCCACCACGCCTGGCTGACGTGCACTTCATGTTTAACCCATATGAGCACTGACAGTCTCTCAAGAAAGGAATTTTAAAATAGATACTATAACAAAATTATTCCTTTAGTTAGCATTATGTGGAACTCCAAAGCTTACAGAATATCCAAAGCTTACAGAATATAACTCCTCACTATATTTATTGGGAACAGAATTCCAGTAATTTCTTTCTTAAAATATCTAGTATTATGAAGCATAGGCAGGCATACTTAAAACTAAAAATGTAAGCACTAAAGTAAATAAGCAAAATCCACAGTTCCTTCACCTAAACAGCAACAGATAACCTAAATACCATATGACAAGTTAATACAGTAACTCAGACATTACCATGCTCTGGAAGCTCGCCGTATGCCTTCAGACTTCTAGCTTCATCTGCATTGTATTTTAAAATCACATCAGCTTTGTTATCCTTAAATAGAGACAAATAACTTTAAAAACTGATCATGACGAAATATTATCAGTTATTTCATAAATTCTCATATTGAATAAACAATCAAATCTCACCATTTTATTATAAATCTCCTTTTAAATTTTAAAGCTTTCTCATACCCTCTGAAAAAGATCCTTGGGTTTAACCCAGGAGGAAGTTTATGTACATGGCTGAATGATTATTAACAGGCTTGGGAAATATATTTTAAGATCTCACTTAATAAGAGCAGAACTGTGAAGACCCCATATTTTAGATTATTTAATATTACCCTTTGATTAGAAGTCTTTTGAAGTACAAAAGCTCCCTGGGACAATAATTTGCAGGGTGATCAAACACTGCAATTCCAAAACTGAGACTGAACTGAGACTGGTATAATGACCTAAGCAAATTATACCTTTCTGCATTATCTGTGCTTCTTTGGCTATGTATCATCACAATCTCCTGTGGAGTTTTTGTATCTTCTGAAGATAGATTAGCAGATGTGAAGAGAAGCCCAAGATTTAGTATTGTGAGAAGTTCTTTGCTATTTCTGATGCAAAAGTCCCACTGAGAAATACTGTCTTAGAATGTTCTACTTCCCTATTTGAAAATAATTTAACTCAGTTAAGGGAGAAAATTGATTGCTTCAACTTCAAGGACAGTGTGATTCAGATCAGTACTTCTTAAAATGTAAAGTGTATAGAAGCCCATGGAGATCTTATTAAAATGCATGCTCTGACTGAAGAGTCAAAGAATGTGTATTTCTAACAAGCTTCCAGAAGATGCTATTGAGCCAAAGACCACCCCGTAAGTGGGAGGGGCACGGAAGGATCACAAAAAATTTCAAATCAGAAGTTGGTCCTGGCTGTCACTTTACAGTTAAAATGTTACTCATTTCGGACCCTTGGTGTCCTTATCTATCGAACAGGAAATTACTTATTCTTCCTATTCCTGGGGTTATTGTTAGATCATAAGAAAAAAAGGGACATTAAAATGGTATGAATTTAAAGCAAGCTTTCTCACCTCAGCGCTACGGATTATTGTGAGGTGGACTGTTCTCTGTTATGGGATGCTGTCCTGTGCCCACCTCAGCCTCTATTTACTACACGCTAGCAGCACTGCACCCATCCCCCAGTTGTGACAACCAGAAGTCTCCAGACACTGCCAATGTCCCCTGGAGGGCAAAATTGCCCACGGTTGAGAAACAATGGTTTAAAGTGAAGATTTAAATTATTTACTCTGGATTAAAAAAAAAAATCAAAGCATGCTCAAGGCTATACAAATAGAGACAGTATCACACAGGGATGATTTCCAATAGGTGGAAGTCAAATGGATTTCACAGACCCACAATGAGTCTACAGAGTCAAGGGTTATGATCATGAAAGGCAATCACCATTTTCTTTCTTTCCCAAGTGCTCCTCTATATTTATAGCACATACCTATGTCGTGATGTGTATTATAATTACTTGTGTGCTTAATTCTCTCCACTACCAGGCTATGAGCCTTTTGTGGGATGGGCACTTAACTCATTCAGCTGTATCCTCTAGAACAATGGCTCCCAGATTTTGATTTAAACATAATCCCTGGGATACCTAGCACAATGCCTAAAATGAAACTGGCTCTTAAGAAATGGCTCATCAAATTCAAGCCAGTAAAATATGAAAAATTTACATGTAATTTTTACCTGGTAGTCTCGGAGACCGACCAATATAATGTCCGAGGTATTTATCCAAACCTACAAAAGAAAAGTCACTGCCCGTCATATTTCAAATAACGAAGAATCAAGAAATTCCAGAGTAACAATCAATTAGTTTAGAAATTAAAAGATTTTAGGCCGGGAGCGGTGGCTCACGCCTGTAATCCCAGGATTCTGGGAGGCCAAGGTGGGCGGATCACCTGAGGTCAGGAGTTCGAGACCAGCCTGGCCAACATGGCAAAAACCCATCTCCATTAAAAACTACAAAAATTAGCTGGGTGTGGTGGCAGGCGCCTGTAATCCCAGCTACTCGGGAGGCTGAGGCTGGAGAATCGCTTGAACCCGGGAGACGGAGGTTGCAGTGAGCCAAGACTGCACCACTGCATTCCAGCCTGGGCAACATAGTGAGACTCCATTTCAAAAAAATAAACTTCTTTAAAAGGAAAAAAAAAAAAGAAATTAAGAGATTTTAGTTTGGGCTGGCTCACGCCTATAATCCCAGCACCTTGGGAGGCTGAATCTGGCAGATCACTTGAGGTCAGGAGTTCAAGACCAGCCTGGCCAAAATGGTAAAACCTTGTCTTTACTAAAAATACAAAAATTAGCCAGGTGTGGTGGTGCATGCCTATAATCCCAGCTACTCAGGAGGCTGAGGCCAGAGAAACACTTGAACCTGGGAGGCAGAGGTTGCACTGAGCCAAGATTACGCCACTGTACTTCAGTCTGGATGACAGAGCGAGACTGTGTCTAAAAAAAAAAAAAAAAAAAAAGGAAAGACCCCCATATCAAATTTAAAAAAATAAATACAAAATCAGAGTTGGGACTTTTAGTCAACCTGATTAATAAATCTGCCTGAATAACTACTGTGATGGTGAATTAATCATTACTTTCCAAGGCAGTCCATTCACGATGACATTCAGGAAATGCAACATTAATACAATGCTTATGTAATATAACTCATACTCAAATTTTCTTAATGTACATTTCACAGCTATATGTCCAATTCCTAAACCAGAATCCAAACAAGGGCCACCTACTACATTTAACTGTCAGGTCTCTTTAAGTCTCCTTGAAACTAGAATAGTACCCCAACTTTTTTTTTTTAAACTTTCATGACAGTAACATTTCATTAAGAGCTGGGCCATCTGGCTAGGTACAGTGGCTCATGCCTATAATCCCAGCATTTTGGGAGGCCAAGGCGGGCTGACTGCTTGAGCTCAGGAGTTCGAAACCAGCCTAAGCAACATGGAGAAACCCCATCTCTACAAAAAATACAGAAATTAGCCAGGCATGGTGGCACAGGCCTGTAGTCCCTGCTACATGGGAGGCTGAAGTGGGAGGATCACTTGAACCAAGGAGGGTGAAGCTACAGTGAGCCCAGATCATGCCACTATACTACAGGCTGGGTGATAAAGTAAGACCCTGTGTCAAAAAAAAAAAGACAAGGAGAAAAAAAGCTGGGCCTTTTGTTTCTGCAGAATGTCTCTCAATTTGGACTTTTTGGGCAGGAATACAACGTAAGTGATACAAATGATTCTTTAACATTAGAATCTGTATAAAATTACCATTACAGACCTTGTTATTTGCCTTATAGGTAAATCACTGTTTACCTAGGTAAGTCTTTTGGGAATTTCCAAAAATGAAGTCCGTGGACAGTTAAAAACTGTTAGAGGGATTTTCCCCCTTAACCAATTTTATATTAAAGTAAAACAAATCACACCTACCTTTTTTCTCAATTTTCCTCTGATGTGACATAACCTCTTTACACCATCAAAACACATTGCTTCTAGCCGTCCATTTCCCAACATTTTGATTACCTGAGCATACTCTAGCGGGGAGAAAGGAAAAGGGTATGGAATATTGTTCAACTTTTGATAACAGCAACTTAAAGTCCACATAAAACTGTCAAGAGAATAAAGTTGCACCAGTTGGGAATAAATACATATATTAAAAATATAAATAAACATAAGGGAGTGATAAATATCAAGTTAGTTAATGGCAGAGCTAGAACCAAGACTCTATAATGCCATTTCTTTCTTTCTTCTTTTTCCTGAGCTCAGGTCAAGTGTAGAAACCTTCACAGTTACAAAGGTCAGTAGTAAAACCTTTACATCATTGCCCAGAAATGATTAGGCTTTCATGGACATACATACGCACCCCCTCACCCCCAATCTCATTCATTCCTACAACTGCTACCTTTATAAACACATGTGGGTGCACACACACACACCAGACATATGCCCTTATTGTTTTACATTGTTTTCTAGTTTTGCTTCTCAGAACTGTAGAGATCATGCATCAGGTAGACTAGAAAACCTTCTGAAGTTCAGATTTGGCTAGTTTCATCACTGATCCACTTCAGTAAAAGCAGATCTCAGAGAATGTAATGCATTTCTATAACATACGGTCTCTGCTATTAGACACGTTTTAATTATCAACTCATTCTGAATAAGTAGATTAACTACCCCACTTTTAGCTCTCCTTTACCTCAGTACCTTTAGGAGCAATTCTCATAATTTTTAGTTCATTTAGCAAACAAAAACAAACTTCAAACAATGTCTTTTTTGAATTAGAATATGACTAACCCCCAGAGAGGATGTCCATTAATTTGTAAATATACTGAGACTTCACTTTGAAAGGCTCAGTAGTGGGGTTGACTTGTGGAAGTGAATTACTCAGACTACAGTGAGCCCAGCACCCACCTACCACCTCAACATGGTTGGTCAACTCAAAGGCAGCCTTTCTTCCAAAGTGAGAGAAGTTGTAGTACTAAAACAGTGTCTGCCCAAGTCAAGTCAGCTGCTATTTTAGAGGCAAGGATGACCAAGGCTAAGAAACAAAAGGATTTTTAGCCAGAAAACGTATCTCGTGTTTACTGGTTTATATGTATGGCATAATAAATCTACCCAAAGTTCTGTTAAAAGCTAAAGTACTGGAAATGATTGGAATACCTGAGAAAATATGAATTTGGAGTATATACTAGATATTATATCAATGTCAAATTACCTGAGTGTGATAATTCTCTTCTAGTTATATAAGAAAATATATTTGCTCTCAGGAGATACATGATCAAGTAAAGGAAAAGTAACATGATGTCTCTAAATTTCAAAAGGTCCTCAAGAAATCCTACATATGGGGCTGGGTACGGTGGCTCACGCCTGTAATCCCAGCACTTTGGGAGACCAAGACAGGTGGATCATGAGGTCAGGAGATCAAGACCATCCTGGCTAACACAGTGAAACTCCGTCTTTACTAAAAATACAAAAAAAATAGCTGGGCATGGCAGCGGGCGCCTGTAGTCTCAGCTACTCGGGAGGCTGAGGCAGGAGAATGGCGTGAACCCGGGAGGCGGAGCTTGTAGTGAGCCAAGATCGCACCACTGCACTCCAGCCTGGGTGACAGAGTGAGACTCCATCTCAAAAAAAAAAAAAAAAAAAAAAAGGAATCCTACATATATATGTACATATATATTTCCTTATACGTGTGTGTACGTATGAGGGATTTAAGGGAGTTTGTTGCACTAATACTGCAACTTTCTGTAGGTTTGAAATGACTCGAAATAAAAGTAACAGGAAAGGGCAAACGATCCAGTTAGGGTTTATTTGACTGGTGCTATGTATCCTGGTCTGGCACTTACAAAATTCTTCAGTCTAATAAGGTCAGTTAACTGTTCAGTTTCATTTTATTGTAGTTTATGAAGTTACATGCTAATGGCACCGGAGAATGGAGAGGTCTATAAGGGCCTCAGGCTCATCCTTCAAATGTCCATGGTCTACTCAACATATTATGCACACCATTCACTATCAAAAATGCTAATCACAGAACTGTCAACTAAATCATAGAACTGTCAACCATAGCTTTTGAGGCTCAATTCCCTCTGAACTATACAACACATTCTTAGTTCCCAGTACTTTGGGAGGTCGTGGTGGGAGAGCCCAGGAGTTCGAGAACAGCCTGGGTGACATATGAAGACCTCATCTCTATTAAAAAAAAAAAAAATTTTTTTTTTTTTT